GCCACAAAGATGGCGCGAACAAAACGCCGGGTTTGGGGGTTGGACCGGATTCAGGGCCATCGGAGTGATTTGTTTGACTCATTCGACCCCCAAGAGAACCCCTTCCGATCCAATCCCACGGTACCGGTACTGGTACGTACGTTCCGGTACGAAAACAAAAAATACAAAATACAAAATACTGCTGTACTTTCATTGTCAAATACGAAAGGGTACGTACCGTATGGTAGTACAGTACTACTAGTCATCGCACGATGCGTGAAAGCAAAGATATCAACAGTATTGCTAATTACAAGTAGTAGTAGTATTGGATGATACTTCCTTCGTAGAAAGAAGCATCGCCATACAGTAGTCCTTGCGTCACGATCCTCCGATCGAAAGGCATCGCGAACCAAGAATCACAAACAGATATGTTCCGCATCGCTGCGACGGGCGAATGCCGACGTCAAAAACAGCTACTAGTAGTACCAGTAGCCGGCGGGGGCAAGCCACAGAGCTAGCAGTACCGTAGTACTACTGGATCGAGAGCTCGGGCCAGGCCTCGACCCAGGCCGAYCTCAGCTCGCGGCTCAGCACGGGGTGGTTCGCCTCGAATTCCGCCGGGCTCTCCGCRAAGCACACAATGACCGTGTTCACCGCCGAGCCCACGACGCTCATGAGGATGCTGCAAAAKCCCAGGCCGACAAAGAATCCCACSACAAAGGCCACGGTGGYCACGCCACCGCCGTCCTCGACCCCGAAATCCTCCAGCAGACCGGGGTWKACGGATCCGACGAGCAAGCCCACCAGCCCGGTCAGGACGCCGACGCCGATGCTCATCATCAGCAGCACCCGGTCGGCGAGGTCGTCGGTGATGACGGTGGTCCAGCCCTTGCTCCGGAACAACTCGACGACGTTCCGGCCGGCCTCGATGTAGCCAAACCCGTACAAACCAACGTAGATGTACGCCCACTTGTTGAAGTACTCGATAATGTCCTGGATGCAGGACAGGATGCACTCGATCAGGCACGCCAGGAGCTGGGCGTCCTCGTTYTGCCGTGCGTTCCTGGCCATCTGCCGGAGCGCCTGSACCACCGCCACCAGCAGCGAACCCAGGCAGATCGATCCAAAGCTGTAGCTCGTGGCCCTGCAGAAGCTGTCCTGGAGGCCCTTCGAGCAGCACCCGCTGGCCTCGCCCGGAACGAACCACCACGTTCCTACGGTGCCGGCGGTGGTCACGTGGATSGTGTTGGTCAGGACGCCAAAGGTCCAGTAGAAGGACACCAGGAGAAGAAAGACGGTCCCGCCGTTGCTGGTCGCTAGCGAGTTGGCCATGCCCGCGAGCCAGAACCCGCTCCAGGCAAAGGCCACAAACATGACCGAGTAGGCTACCAGAGAAAGTCCAGCGTTGGATTTCACGGCGGTCAGTGCCGTATTGAGGTTGGCTGTGCACCAGGGTTTTGGTTGGACACGGATCCGAGGCAGGGGATGGATTTGCGAACGGGAATCACGGTGAGACGAGGAGAATCAATCCTTCGACAGAGACAGAATCAAAAGCAAACGCAAACGCAAAAGAGACCAATGCATGGCATCGCYAACAAGAATGACARCGACAAAAAGCAACAGACCACGTCGATCCGAACCAGCGCCAATCGACTCACCCGCGGCGTAMGGAATTCGTTTCCACACCGCGACGACGTAACAAGCCGTCACGGCAAAGAAAAACACCCCCATCAGGATCGCGAACATCTCCCCCGATAGAATCATGGCAACGGCCATCACACCGGCCAGAAGCGAGCTAAAGACGAGGCCCGCCTTGACCATCGCGGTGGGAAACTTCATCATCAGGACGATCGTGAGAGAGGACAGGCCCAGGGCAGCGAGGCCCGTCGCGGCCACCAGAAAGAAGATTCCGCCGTAGGAACCGCTAAAGCCGTCCCCGTTGTCGCCGCCACCGCCGTTGGCGGCGATGTTCATAGAGATGAGAACGCTCATGACACCGATGTGGGCGACAAAGGCAAAGGCCCAGAAGACGTCTCGGAACTGGGTGGGCTGCTGCTGCTGCTGGAAGTGACTGTCAAAGTTGATGGTAGTTCCCTCGTTTTGGAAGTTGTCGGTGGGAGCACCATAGTGCGACTTGGCATGGGMCCCATCATAAGGCCGGCTGTCGGGGGCGGGAACCGCTGTTCCCTGCACAATCGGAACCGAATAGTCGGAGTTCATTTTCGTTTCTGTGTTCGATTCGATTCGACTCGACTCGACTCGATTCAATTCAATTCAATTCGACTCGCTTCTTTGGGATCGGCTAAGTTGCGCTTGTTCGCTTTTGCTTTTTCCGARACTGGACCAGCTGTTGGTTGTTATATTTCTCMGGGGTTGCGGTACAGTGCCAGAGAAAAAGAAACTCTTTGGATAATGATATCAAAGATCGATGGTTTGTGCTCTACTATTCGGGCACGAACGATGCTTGTAACGCCACTACCGGTAGATACTTCGTAMAAGATTATGACATTTCTTCTTCTCGATTCGATACAACTCGCACGCGGGCATGAAATGAAGAAGTTGGATCGTGCGCATGTGCATGTTTTCATACCGCAGTGATGACAACTGTACACAAAACTGTACGGTAGGATAGTACGGTAGGATTTTTAGAGCTGGCACGCAACGGCAACGATCAAGAAGCTTAAAAAACAAAAAACCCTACCAGGTACCACCGTATTGTCAGTACGTTGAGTATGATTCCTTACGTTAGGGTACCTTACGGTACAGCATGATGGTCGTACGGTGCGACAGGTCTGTCTATCTAACCACGCGACGGTATTCGCATCCTATCGCACGTAACCTAGGTACGAGTACGAGTACGAGTACTAATCCTGCATGCCTTCCCTTTCTGATTTTGACGACGGCACAGTGAACAGTCAACTGAGAAGTATCAACTGGTTAGTACCGGTACGTGTACCGTAAAGTACGTACTGTACGGTACATTATTCGTACGTATGGGATGGGCTAAGGGGAGAGTAAGAATTACAAGTAGTACGTACCGTGCGGCAGTATGCACTTGTAATACTACTGAGATTGGATCGAATGAATCGAATTTTGGAACTAGTTCTCGGTACATACGTATGTATGATATGGTCATACTAGTACTACCACATACCACATGCTCTCGTCCTTTCGCGGCATCCGAGAGGCATTTTGGGAATGTTTCTGTGTCCAACTGCCGGATAAAGCATTCATCGATGAACCGAATGAAATTGATCCGGAACAAACCCAAACCACAGCAACAATGAGTACTCCCATCGTCTCCAAAAAGATGGTGGGAAAAGACCGAGCCGCGAAGACGAAGACAGGCGGCAGGAGCAAAAACATTGGCGGCAAAARGGGCGCCGGAACGGGCCTCAACGATTGGTTCATTGCCATTTTTGGTGTAGCCTTTGTTGTCAGTTTCTCGCTGAACGTGATGCATCTGACCATGAGCCCCGCAAACGACGACACCAATGACATTGGTGGTAAAGGGCACTCCACCAAGAAGGAGGCGGCGCGGGCCGCTCTGATGCGTACACTGAAGGATTTCAGAGACTCGAGAGAAAAACGCAAGCGGCGCATGGATGAATTACGCGCTAAAAAAAATTCGATAAACCAGCACGAGGAKCCCGATGAACTTATGGATCTCGAATACGGTGCTCATGGAGCTGGGAGTGATGYGATGAAACTGGCACACCTGAATTGCAAGCCCTGGGGCGTTTCTGACGACATCGCTCAGGAAATGGTCTATTGGCAAGACATTCCAACGGATTCTTCTTATGTTCCTCCCTTCTACGAAATCAATCATCGACCCGGGACCGAAAGACGGTACATGACTTTTGAACCTGACGGTGGGGGCTGGAACAACATCCGCATGGCGATGGAATCGACAATTGCCATTGCGGTCGCAACGGGTCGCACGCTGGTGATGCCGCCCCAAAAGAAAATGTACCTGCTGGGACAAAATAAKGGAGGACAGAAGCACCACTTCAATTTTGTCGACTTTTTTCCCATTGAACGCATGGCGCAGGACAACAAGGCGTTCGAGGTCATCAGCATGCAAGAATACCTCGAAGAAGAAGGSATGAAGGGGAAACTGATCAATAAGGTACGTACGTACGTAATACAGTGGTGTTTTCTACAACTTTTCGTGCCTGCTATGCGGTGGAAATGAAGCTGTAGAGCAGACGTGTACAATACCATATAYCGAGTGCAGTGGCCACATTGATTGAGTTGCAATTTTCGAAAAGACACGAAAATTCACGCGCGTGTGTGTTTGACTCATCTTCCTACTTCCACCACAATGCTCTGAAACGACCCCCCTTTGCCATGCAATGTTWTATTTTTGYCTCTAGGAAACGGGAAAACCTGAATTCCCTCCAGGGAATCGAACYGATTGGGATAACATAAACCAAGAAGAGTATGATGAAATGCGGTATTATCTTCGCAGGGTAAGTCATACACTGGAATGGCGACCTCCCGATTGCCTCCCGGCCTTTCCTTCCTCCGGCGACCACAAAGACGTCGAAATTCTACAAAAGCTGGCTTTGGAAGTAAAGAAGCCAAAGGGTCGTGTAAGTACCCAAGAATTGTTTCGGGTCGATGACCCCAATCCCCGACCACGATTGGAGGGATCTCTCTCGGGACGAAAGTCCTTATGCGTATACGACGAGGGAGATCAAAACGAAAAGGTTATTCACTTCCAAATGAACCACAAAGAAAGACTACGGTTGTTGGTACATTTTTATGCATTCTTGTTTTTCGAAGACTGGCGCGAAGACTTGTGGATGAAACGATTTGTWCGGGATCACTTGTACTACAACGATCAGATTCAGTGTGCCGCTGCTAATATTGTGGACAAAATTCGCACCCGCAAGGCTGAAGCAACGAAAGGCAAAAGCAGGGACTTTATCACGTTCCACGTCCGGCGCGGTGACTTTCAATTCAAGGACACGCGCATTAGTATCGAAGATATTATGGAAAACACAAAAGATCTTTTGCCTCCAGATGCGCTCATTTTCATTGCTACAGACGAGCGAGACAAGGGATTTTTCGCACCCATGAAGAAGAAGTATGATGTGCTATTTCTAGACGATTTCAAGGAGGAGCTGAAAGGAGTYAACTGTGAGTAGATGTGATTGCCGGCTGAAGATCGTGTAATTGTTCCAGCYAACTGGTCACGTTTGAGCTTATCTATCAGAGGCTCGTTGTTGAATGGACTTTTCGATATCTAAATTGATGCTGATTTTCTTCTCCTCCYCTATTCCTCCTCTTTTCAGCCAACTATTTCGGTATGATTGATCAGTTGGTAGCAAGCCGAGGAAGTAAATTTTTCGGTTGCTGGCACAGCACCTTCACGTCATATATTATGCGACTAAGGGGGTATCATTCTACCAAGGATAAGGCAGAAGGATACGAGCAAGGCATTCTGCCCACGACGTACTATTACACACCGAAAAAGAATCAGTTGGAAATGCACCATTACAGTCAYATTCAGGGCGCTTTCTTTAACCGCGAATTTCCGGCGAGTTGGAGAGATATTGATAAAGGAATAGAAGAATTGGGATCCAAATCGCGCCAGAGCTAATTGGTATACAACACAACCTCCCCCCCCCTCCCCCGGGATAATTTTGAAGCAGTTTTGTATTTCATCAAAAACCAATACGAAAAAGCGCATTCCTGTTTCATGAGAACCTATTGCCGTAACAGTTTCCGTTGGAGTACAATATGTTCCTGCTTTGCCTCTTTAAAGACYGAAGCAATAGTCTAATTTATGATAATATGCTACTTGTAGATACAAGTGAGTACGGTCAAATTTGTTCTCCTCCGCATTCCTGTTTCGAGCATAGAAAACAATGAACCACATTCAAAATTCTGAAAACAATTGAAATCAAATTTGGCAAGCAGTGAAATATTCGTTAGGAATTTAGTAAGCTCTTGGTGTAAGCGGTGTAATGAGCTGCCCACGTCCTCCATTCCCCCGATTTCTCCTGTCATCTCCAAAATTGTCTGGTCGAGCACTTCCGTAATTACGTTCGTCTCTTCTATCGTTTCTTGGTGTAGGATTCATTGATGRCATCGAACCACTGCCACGATCAACACGGCTGCCACGACCACCACTTGGTAGAGAAAAATCCAATTCATCCAAAACATCATCTTGTGTTCTAGATCCAAATGCGGCTGAAAAACCCTGGCGAAGAGCRCAATCCTTCATGTAAGATACCAAATAAGGCCAGTGCGCCATATCAGTGTCAGGGAAGTGTTGAGGAATATAAAGCAAGTAGGATGCAACAGACACATCTGCCAAAGTAAATTGATCACCAACTAAGAACACGGAGCTAAATTGTTCTCGAAGYTGACGTTGCTTTCGCTCCAAGAAATCATTAAGTTCATCTAATGGCTCTAATTTGATGCCCGGTCTGCTATAAAATTCTGACGGGGAAGCCAAGCCGAGTTGCCGTTGAGATCGTTCTAGAGATGTCGTTTTCTCCATACAACAAAGGGGCTCCAATTGGGCATTGGCCCAGACAATCCARCTGCTTATCTCGGCCGATTCTTTCGCTGATGAACCTGCCGGTCTTCGAAATTCATTCATATTCATGTTAGAGACATCATCACTTTGGTAGTTATCAAGAAGATATTGTAAAATGGCGCCAGATTCAAACACCATTATTTCACCATCATTATCCTTTTAAACAAAACAGAAAAAAAAATAAGTCAGTCGTACTCAAAAAAAGACAAATTATCTCAAAAAACTTGAAGGTGATACTCACTGTCAAACATGGAATCTTTCCGAAGGGATGGGGGTTACGTGCCAAATCACCAACGACTAAATCTAGTCCAAGTTCAAAACATGCCCAGTTTACAACAGGAGAACCCACTGACGAAGGATGCCCATATAAGGTCAAACTGTTACTGGACAAATGTCCCCTGTTGATACTTCTATCCAAACCTCTGCTGGTATTCATTGCTCGCATTGTGTTCAGTAGAGATGATTGCACATCTCGTCCAAATGCCTCACCATATGCTTCTCGGYTTGCGCAGGTTGATAAATACGCAACAATATTCGGCCACATAGATAAATCTGTCTCTGGGAAAAATCTCAGCGCAAAAAGTAAATAAGAAGCAACTGCAACATCTGCAAGCGTAAATTGATTCCCCAATAAGTATGCCGATGAAGACGACGGTGAAAGTTGTTGATCCCGTGAGAGATTGCCAAGAATATTATCCAGCCGATCGATTTCTTTTAGATTTTTGCTTCTTGTTGTCCCGCTGCCCCTTCTTCCTTGTCGTCGGTCTCTTTCGACTAGACCTGTTTCTTCAATACTTCCATCTTCGGCTGCCAAAAGGCAAATAGGTTCCAATGAGGCATTAGCCCAAACAATCCACGATGCCAAAGCAGCTGATTGGGCAGAAGAAAGAGGCTCGTTATATGAATCATCATAATAATTGTCTTGGAGGTATTGTAAAATGGCACCCGACTCAAAAACTCCGACTTCACCTTGCCGGTCCGTCAAACAAGGTAGTTTGCCAAAGGGATGAGGATTGTCGACCAAATCACCCATCGCTAGGTCAATATTGAGTTCGAGAGCGGCCCAATTGATCAACGGAGATCTTGAACCAGGATGCCCATATAGGGTTAATGAGTTAAATGTAGTCTTGTCACTACCCATGCTATTCCTGTTGCGATTGTTGTTGTTGTTGTTGAACCCACTACCGTTGGAATTCCCGAAATTTTGGTTCCCATCTACGCCACCCCGGGATTCATTTCCAGCRAATCCTCCAGGTCTTTGACCGCTATTAGATCCTCCGAATCCACCGCCTCCTGGACCCTTAGACGCACCAAAGCCTCCTCCTCCCGGAGACTTGGATCCTCC